TCCGCGGACTTACAACGCTAGAATCCGGGTTTCGATACCCGTGGCGGGCGGGGCACAGATAGCCCCGTGTGTAGCTTTGTGCTTAATAACAAACAAACATATACCAACTGCGGGTAACTACAAGAGATATACCAAGATCCGCACTGAGTGGAGATGAAAGAACCATGAGCAATAACCTAAGTCACATCAACACTTAGTTACATACCAACATTTAGTACTAACGAAAGACACACTAAACATAGGTAGACCTCTTTGTTCTATAGTGCATATATATACTCATGTATATCTGTAAACTACTTGTACCTGAGGAGGACAAAATCTTGTCGAAACGTCGTACATTTATAATAACGTTTTTTTCATTACCCAGTCAAGCCGTCTCAAAACTTTTATAGGAATATAATGACTAGAGATATAACAACAATAAACATTTAGTACTGACCAGTAACGTACCAGCAGTTAGAATTAACAAGAAACATACCAAACATAGGTATATAATGACGGTGACAATGTATATTACGATCCATTAACCTTATAGCTTCATTTATTCCGTACGACTTGCATAATTAAATACCCAACTATTAAATATTCCTGCAATAGGGCCATTGGCACCAGAGTCTTTAATTATAGTAAAGTATTAAGTAACATAACCAACGATGAATTACACAACATTTTATCCTCTCAATCACAATACAAGTGTATTTCATTTTCTTACTTTTATTCTCCTATTGACCACGTGCTCACCGATAATCTTACATTATGGCTGTTAATGAATAAAAATTCCGAAACTGTCCTAAGTCAACTGTAAACAGGTAACTGTAAGTTACTCAATAGAGTTTTATACCGATGGAGTAAAAGATAGAACTTAAGTGTAATCCTATTTAGAAAATGGATAAGTAAAGACATAATCCATAAATGCTTAACACACATAAATATGTTCACTATCAACAACTATGGAGTACAGAAAGAAGTTATGTAAGTATTTATTTACTTAGTAGATATCCCATCACTCTTACCGATAAAGCAGCTAACAACTTTATTTTTCTGTGAAAAAAATACAACTTTATTTTAAGAACTAGGCTTTAATTTAAAAAAAATATTCGGAAAACAAGGTGTATTAATACGTTAAACAGTTTTATCAGACTGTGGTGTACATTCTGTTGAATCTTATAATGTGTACCAAAGTAATTTGGATTCCCAAACTACATAAAACACCATAAAAATACGGGTTTAATACTGGCGTTAACAAGCTACTACTAATGATTTATCAGTTGCAATACGTAGTGGTTTGAAATAAATTAAAGATAATTAAAAAATTTATTGTAATTTTATCAAAGAGGGGACCGGTATTAATCTGTTTATTGTCATTAATAATTCCATTGAATATAAAGAGAAAACTTAATATTTTTGAGGCTAAAACTAGGAAAACTTTTTATTTTAGTATTTTTTTACATTAGTCTTCTTACTTATAAAATTCCCAACAGTTTCAAGGTATTTTTATTATTCTGGTAAATTAATGATTTGAGTTAGTAAACGCAGATACGCATATGACAATCACTAATAAAAAAGTACCATTGTTTCACACAATGAATTCTTGCAGGCCATGTATTTTTAATTTGACAACACATTTGTACAATTCGGTTAACACGTCTTCCAATAAATACAAGGAAAACTTATTGGAGGTATCTTCAGTCCACAAGTTGTATATTTATATTTATTGAAAATATTCTTAAATCTATAAAAAGGTTTTCCTGACAAACCTGGACAAATTTATCTGCCAAAAATCGCTCTGGAAAAAAACTCTCAATTGAAACAAGTAAGCTGGATTTAGATATTATCTTTGTTAATCAAACATTCCGGTTCAAAGTGTCCAATAAAAGAGACACGTCTAAGTTTGAAGAAATACGAATATTCCAAATAAATTATGTTACAATGTTTACTTCTCACAGCTTATTAAATACAATATAATACAAGACTTCTTGAATAAAGCTCATAAACTCAATCGCATTTTTACAAACGAAATTTCTCTTACCACATTTTGAGCTCCTATTGTCTGATGGCTTATAGCGCTAAAAATCGGGTTTCGATATCTGCAATGAGCAGAGCACAGATAGCCCATTGTGCAGCTTTGTGTCTAACAACAAATAAACAAACTTACAACATTCTAAAAATCAAATTCGTACAATTTTGCGGGAAATTCAACAGTCTTCTTGCTACCACATGTGGGTTTAAGTTTCACAGAATATCACGACTTTTTCAAAACCTTCCCATGTACACTTTAATTTCCAAGAAATTATAATAATATTGAAACACTATTAGTTTAATAATTAAATCCTTATCCTATATTGTAGAACATTACGTAATTAAATAAATTACATTAATGTTTGTTTGTTTTTCTAATTATTTTAATTTTTATGTTTACCG